GGCTTAGCGGTTATAGTGGTTAGTTACCTCGGTTGTGGTTTAGCCCTGGTTGGGGTCGTGCGGGAGGCAATCAATTGATGTGTCTCTCGCATCAATGTTTTTCTCTTTCTCTCTCTCCCTCCCTCCCACTCCATCTGAAGATAAATAGAAAAATATCCTCGGGTGAGGATTAAAAAAACAAAACAAAACATCAATGAGAGAGAACATTGATCAGCTGCCTCCTGCAAGCCCCCATTAGAGACTGGCCCACAACCTGGGTATGTGCCCTGACCAGGAATCGAACCAGCGACCTCTTGGTGCATGGGTCAAAGCTCAACCAGTAAGCCACACTGGCCGGGCTAAATATGTTTTTATCAATTTTTTTTTTTATCCTCACCGGAGAACATTTTTCCATTTTTTGTTCAGATAGAGTGTGAGGGAAAGAGAGGGAGGTAGGGAGAGAGAGAGAGAGAGAGAGAGAGAGAGGGAGAGAAACATCGACGTGAAAGGGACACATTGAGTGGCTGCTACCTGCACAACCCAATCAGAGCCAAACTGGGACAAACTGCAACCGAGGTACATGCCCTTAGCGGGAACCGAACCCGGGTCTCTCTGGACCACAGGCTGATGCTCTAACCTCTGAGCCAAACTGGCCAGGGCTGTTTTTATTAATTTTTTAGAGAGGGAGGAAGGGAGAGAGAAATAGAAATATCGATATGAGAAACACTGATCAGCTGCCTCCTGCATGCCCTCTACTGGGGATCAAGCCTGCAACCCAGGCATGTGCCCTGACTGGAAATCAAAGTGGGGCCTCTCAGTCCATGGGATGATGCTCAATCCATTAAGCCACACAGGCCAGGCTCACCTAAGGATATTTTTCCATTGATTTTTTTTTTTTAGATAGAGTGGAAGGGTCCTGGCCGGTTTGGCTCAGCGGTTAGAGCATCAGCCTGCAGACCAGAGTCCCGGGTTCGGTTCCGCTAAGGGCATGTGCCTTGGTTGCGGTTTGTCTCTGACCCCAACTGGGGTTGTGTGGGTGGCAGCCACTTGATGTGTCTTGCTTACATTGATGTTTCTCTCTTTCTCCCTCCTGCTCTATCTGAAGATAAATGCAAAAAAAATGTCCTCAGGTGAGGATTTAAAAAAAAAAAAAGATAGAGTGGAAGGGAGAGGGAAGGAGGTATTGGGGGGAGAGAGAGAGAGAGAGAAACATCAGTGTGAGAAAGATACATCAGTTGGCTGCTTCCCGCATGACCCCAATAGGTCTGAGATTGAACTTGCAACCCAGGTACATGCCCTTGACCAGGAATTGAGTCCGAGACCCTTTGGTCCAGGGGCCGACACTAATCGCTGAGCCAAACCGGCCAGGGCCAGACAAGCCTTCTGTAATGGCCTGGGGAGCAGCAAACAGCCCTGAGTGAACTGCTCGTGGAGGGCACCATGTGGCAAGGGCATGGGGAGGCAGCAAGAAAATCAGGAGCCCAAGGACCATTTGGCCAGGAGGGGCTGGCTTTGGGGCCACTTATTTCCTGCCTTCTCTTCACAAACATTTCTCATCCACCTGCATTGGGAGAGAGTAGGGACTCCACCAGAAACCTCCAGGTCCCTAAATCCTGCTCTGCCCTGGCCTCCACGGTCTGTTCTCCCCATGGCTATCAGAGAGCACTTGTGAACACCTAGTCTCTGCCCACAGCCTCCATGGCTCCCAGTGCCTGGGGTAAAAGCCCAAGCAAGTCCTGCCATACCTGTACCCACAGCACCCTGCATGACCTGTCCCCTCCATCATCTCCTCATCCTCACCTCCTTCTCCCCCCTCACTCTGCTACAACCACACAGTTCCCTTTACTGTTCCCTCAACGTGCCAGGCACAGTCCAGCCTCATGGCCTTTGCATCTGCTGTGCCCGCTTCCTGGTTATGTTCCTCTGGCTCATTCTTTCACCTAATTCTGGCCTTTGCTTCAAGATCACCTCTTCTGAGAGGTCTCCCCTGACCACCCTGGCTCAGGAAGCTGCCTCATTTCTCACTATGCTCTGTTCCCGTTTACAGTTTTCATTGCCTTGTGTTGGGTCATCAGCTGTTAAATCACACATTTACGTGTCATTATTTAGTCCCTGTGAACTCTGTGGCATGGACACCATGCCCGTTGGTCACGGCTGGGTCCCAGTGATTTGAACAGCACCAGACACCTAGTAGCTGATGAGAGACTGTGATATTTATTGAGCACCTATAGTTTGTTAGGTGCTGGTCTGGGCAGTGGGTACATGACAAGGACAAGACATACACCCCCTTCCCTCACCAATCAGGTGGCCAGCCTGGTGGGATAACAGATAGGAATCAAATCATTATACAATAGTTAATCAGAGCCAGCACTAATTTGGCATTTACTGTATACCAGGTAGTACTCTATTAATCAATTAATTCTCACCACTACTCTATGAAGGTGATACTATACCATTGATATCCTGTACTACAAATGAGGAAACTGAAGCACAGAGAGGGTAAGTGTCTTCCCAGGTCTCACGGTCTGGTAGATTATTCCAGGAATAGTCCTGGTGGCTCAGGCCTCCTATGCTCCTGTGTCACCCTCTCAAGGCTGGTCATGGGCTTCATGTGGCTGGAGGGACAGTAGCACGTGTGATACATGCATTCAAAGTGCTTGTTTCGGGACCTGCCTATCTTGCTGTTCCTGGCTGCCTACAAGTCCCATAGGGGGAAGGGCCAGCCAGCCCAGCAGTCGCCCCATCAAGGCTAGCCAGATTTAGTAACCAAACATACAGGATGCCCAGTTACATTTGAACTTGAGATAAGCAATGAACAATTTTTTTTTAGCATACATATGTCCCAAATATTGTATGGGATATGCTTATACTAAAAAAGTCATTTGCTGTTGGCCTGAAATGTACATTTAACTGCATCTCCAGGGTTTTGTATCAGAACCCTGCCTCCTCAGCCGATGGCGGCCCTGACTCCACAGGCATGAGAGGGGTTCCCTCGAGGTATGGCCTCCTGAATACCCCATGATCCTGCAGGAGTCAGTTAAACAAGAATGGTGCTCAGAGGGAGGGTGGATGTGCTTTGAAAAGTGCTGAGAAGCAGACCTGGGAGGGAGGCAGGTTCTGGCACTTTAGTTAGAAACTCGGTTTGTATTTCAGCCTTTCTAATGGCCTGAGAGGGAACTCTCCTCCCTTCCCGGATCATAATACACTGAGCTGGGGGAAAACCAGGGAAGAGTATCCACCCCTCACAGGAAAGAAGGGGGGGCAGCCAGGGACCCACAGTCACAGGATCCGAGAAGTGCTGCCCACTGGGCTGCCTGCTTCATTTCATCCTGAGAGCCCACCCTGACACCCTCCACCTTCCAGACAGACCCACCCTCCTTTGGGGATTCCACTAAGAATTTATGTAAACCTTTCATCGAATACCTTCTGGGCAGTCAGCCTGGCAGGTGGATAGAATTCTATCGCCACTCTCTAAGGGGGCTGCCTCATTAAAAGAATGAAAATGAAAAGTAAATCTTAAAAACAAGGCATTTCCAATGGTTGTACTTCTGGCTTCATCAGGACATATCAGCCAGGACAAATCCAGAATTTCATAGAGGACTTTGCAGTTTTAGGGCACTTCTAAATTTTTTAAGCCACTCTGATGGTTCCCAAAGGTCTTCTTATGCCTTCAAGAGAGCTATTATCTCCCCCCTTTTTATAGTGCTAAAATACACATAACACAGTTTACCATCTGAACCATTTTTCAGTGCAAAGCTCAGGGGCATTAATATTGTGCAGCCGTCCCCACCACCCATCTCCAGAACTTTCTCATCTTCCCAAACTGACACTTTGACCCCAATAAACACTAACCCTCTCTCCCCCAGCCCATCGCCCACCATCTATTTTCTGTCTCTGAGTCTGACTCCTCTAGGGACCTACTGCAAGTGGAATCACATAGTACTTGTCCTTACTAAGCACTGTGAGTGTGACTGAAGAGCAATGACTGACTCAGTGGGATGGGACAATGTGGGAAGACGGGGCCTGGCATTACTGCAGATGGTCACTCCACAATCACTGATTGGGCACCGACTGCATGCCGCATGCTGGGAATGCTGATTGTGACCCTGGCAGCGTGTCGCAGGCTTGCAGCCCCGTGGGGGGTGGTGAAAGCCAGTAGTATCTGTGGGAGCAGTAAGTGTCATCCAGAGAAATGAACCAGACAGAGGAAGAAGGGTTTATTTCATGGTGGACATGGACAAGCAGTTTGGGGGAAGCAGAGGGACCTCGTTTAGTCCACAAATCAAGCCATTCTTTTCTGCCAGGTCAGGTGCTGTCCCCAGGGGACCCCATAATGTCAGGGCTTTGCTGGTGCACTGTGGAGGGGACTCCAGGGCAGCACGGAGGCTCTCAGACTGGGCGCTCAGGTTTCCTTCCTCAGACTGGAAGGTTTCCCAGGGTTGGAGTGGGGCATTTCCCCCTTCTTAGATTGGGACTTAGAGGGGAGCCGAGTGTCTCTCCCCTCAGACCTGCAGCTCCTCACGGTGCCAGGACCCATGCCTTCCTCCAACCATCCCCTCTGCCCTCAAACTAGCGGGAAAAATGACAATTGGAACGGGGTAGAGGGACCTGGTCTCCTTCCTTTTTGGACCCAAGAACATTTGGCAAAGTCCTAGAAACAGAAAGAATTGACAGAGGTCTGATTTTATCCCCAGCTTTAGACCTAGAAAAACCAGAACAATTTCTCTAGGAAAATAAAAGCGGAAAAGAAAGCCCTCGAGTCTGGAGGCACACCCACCCTTGGGATTATTGGCATGTCGTTTGTGGTTCTCGGAATGTGGGTTTACTTTTATTTATTTTAAATATGTTTAACTTTTTTTTTTCTTTCTTGATTTTAGAGAGAGAGGAAAGGAGAGAGAGAGAGAGAGATAGAAACATCCATGAGAGAGAACATCAATGGGCCGCTTCCTGCATGCCCTCACCTGGGATTTGGCCTACAACCTGGGCATGTGCCCTGACCAGGACTCAAACCGGGACCTCTCAATCCATGGAACAACGCTCCAGTGAGCTCGGATTGTGGGTTTAAATGGGGACTTGTTTCCTAAAGTGGGGGGCTTGGTGATCGTCTTGGCAGTTCCCACAGGATCAAGGTGCCCCGGTCTCTAGGCTCAGTCCTCATCCTCACTGGCGTAGACACGGGCTTCCCAGCGTTCAGCCATGGTGTTCTTGTGGCGGGTGACTCGTGTGGCTTCCAGGACCTTCAAGAGGAGGCATAAAGTCCCCATTAGGGTCCTAATTCCCCTCCAGGAACCTCCCCTACTGCTAACTCATAGGAGAGGCTTAGAACAGGGGTAAGGCAGGACTATCCCCTCCTCTGTTTCAGACCTTCTACTCCTAGTAATAGCACCAAGGGATGTGGTAACTCATGCTGAGTTCCACAGCAGGGGAAATATCTGGGTCTGGCATTTTGGGCTCTGCTCAAAGACAGCCCCAAATATAATCCACAAATTTACTGAGGTAGCTGGCCTTCTTCACACCCTCAGATGAACCCCTTCCTCAAAGAAAAGGCCCTTGTCTTAGACCCAATCTGCTCCAAAACCTTCATTATTTGACAAAGAAGTTGCAAGTGCATCCACTTTATACAATCAGTGCCCATGGCAGGCATCACAAGCAGATCAGAGCAAAATCCACCACAGGCAGACATCAAATGAGAAGATACTCTGTGAAGTTTCCACACCCAAAAGAAAAGCTTTTGATGATCCTGGTGTGATCAGGGGGCACAAACAGGGGAGAAAACGATAGTCCTTGCCTCAGGAGCACACTCACCTCCAAGTTGACATGGTCCAAGGGGTTGATGCCGGCATACTACAGGAAAAGAACATACGTCAGCCCCTGGGCCTTATGGCTCTGCCCCACTCCAGAGCCCATCTGGAACTCAATGAACAGCCTACTCAGTCACCACTTGAAGCAGGAAGGAAGGTGTTCCATGCCCACCACGGTCCTTTTGAGTGCCCCTTGATCACCCTAGATTCAGCCAGCCATCATGCTGTTCCTTCATGCTATACCCCTCAGTGCAGCCTCAGTCTATCATTTGCAGTTTTTTTCTCTTGGTCAACTTCAGCATAACAAAGACAGTCAATATTTATGGAGCTCTTCCCATGGCCAGGCCCTGCTGTAAGGCTCGGAGGCGGATGGTCTTATTATCACACTCATTTCACAAAGGAGGAGACAGAGGATCAGAGAGGGGCAAGGACTTGCCCAACATTACACAGCAAGCAATTGGCAGGGCTGAGACTTGAACCTGGGTCACTGGGCTCCATTCTGTCTCAACCCGTGAGGCCAGGCTATGAGTTCCAGGTGGGCGAGGCTGGAGTTGGTGTTATTCTGCTTGGTGTTCCCAATACCCCACCCAGGGAGGAGATGGCTTCATAGTTACAAATGTGTGGTATGGATTCACGTTTGGGTTCAAGTCCCAGCTCAGGAACTCACAGGCCATGTGATCCTTGAAAAGTCTCTCTCCACCTTCCTGTGGCCCTACTGGGGGGTGTCAGACCTCAGTCAGACCTCCAAGGGGATGGGCAGGGTTCTAGACTCACCCACTGCTCCTTCTTCTTTCTCTGCCCAGGAACAGCCTCAGCTGGGGACTCTGCTGTCCACACCAGGCCTGAGTGCAGGTGGATGGGAGTGAAGAAGTGTGACTCAGACACTGAGTAGCTATCCATGATGCCTGTGGAGGGCAGGGGGAAGGAAGGAGCATCAGGGAGGGTGCCATAGTTCCTTGAAGGTAGAACATCTATCAGACCAAAGCTTGGGAGACGAAGACTATCTTGACCAGTTAAGGAGACAGGTGATTGAATAGACATACAGAGTAGACAGCTTGTTAAGAAAACTTATAGAGTGACCAAAATAGCCAGCCAGGAAGAACTGGATAGATGGATGGGCCAACTATGCAAAGTGAAAAACATTAAAAGTAACACATGAGATATTTCATATTGACAAAGAGGAGCAATTGACCAAAAGGATACAACATCTGTAAACCTTTACGTGACTAATAACAAAACATTTAAATCCATAAAGCAAAAACCCCAGGGCAAAGTTCACATCTCTCTCCAAAATCTACAGCTTAAGGAAACATACAGGCAGACAGACCAGCCAACTGGGGGAGTGGTCAGTCCCTCCTGACATCCCCAAACTCCATCCCTCCACCCTTTTCTGCTCCAATCTCTGAGACAAGATCAAAGCAACCATTTCCCAGGACCCTTACTCACCTGATGCCCGAGAGGAGCTCCTGGAGTCTTGGTCCTGAGGGGAGAAGACCTCAGGGAAGAGAGCGATACGTCGTTCCTCAGCCACTTCTTGCTCCCGCCTCAGGACACTCTCCATCTCCCTGTCCAGCAGCTCAGAGGACTGAGACCTTTGTAGCCTCAATGCTGGGGCCCCAGCCACTTCCCAGCCCCACATTCGGGGGGTCTCAGCCTTCTGGGGCACATCTGGGACCCTGAACCGCAGGGGACGCAGGCGGAAGTACTCCCATCGCACAACACCCCCATTGGCTTGTGGGGGTCCTCTGGGGGGCTTCGAAAACTGCTGCTTTGTGCCTGAGGGTTTTCCAGAGAATTCTGAGAGATGCCTCTTAGATCCTGTGGCCTTTGGTGAGGCCACTGCCTTGGCCTCATCTGCGGAGAGACCACTAGGCTTGCTGTATGTGTGAAAGGCTGGGAACTTTTGCAGGGGGGCCCCAGGGCTCAGGTATGGCTGGTAGGCATCAGGTGGGATGCGGTTCACCTTCCTCAGCTCTGGAGCAGGATTGGCCGCACTAGCATCTGGAGCGAGGCCAAGGATGGAGTCTGAGCTAAACACTCTCCTAAGTCCAGGCTGGGAGCTCTCTGAGATCCAGTCGGGTGTGGACACAGAACCTATCTGCAGGCCCTCCCGCCGGTGGTCCTCCTCACGCTGCGTCTCCTGTGCCATGTCACGCTGCACATAGAGTGATGGGCGCCCCCTGTCCCGCCGTGGGGCCATGGTCAGGCTCACCTTGGTCAGCAGAGGCCGGGTGGGTATCTCCACCAATTCCTGGTGGCCCACCACCCGCTGCAGCCCCCTCTGCTCACGCAGAGCCGCCTCCCGCTCCTGAGCCAATCGGATCTCCCGCTCAATGGGTGTCTCCTTGGGGACCTCCAGTGACTCCGCTTGAGACTGAGAACCAGGGTCATCGACAGCTTGGACAACAGACGCAGTGGAAAAACTACGGACCCTCTTCTTTTCCATGACCACCTCCTTCACCTGAGGCTTGACTGAGACAGCATACCCATTAGCGAGGGGCAGCTCCTTCAAGGCCTTGGGGGCCTGGTTGATCCTGGGTGAGGCACACGCTGGGGCTACCCTGGCTGGAGGTTGCTGAGGGACCCCTGCGTTTGCCTGCTCCAGGCTCAGGAACTGCTGCCTCGCTGCCAGGAAGTTGATCTGCTCCCTGTCAACCACATTTTCCTCCACGGGCATGAACTCAGGAATTCCAGGGGTCCTAGGGCCCCTATTGTCAGGGGTGCCATGAAGCGTGGCCACTGTGCCGCTCTTTTTCACTGCCTGGCCCTGGATGATGGCCCAGCGCTCCCGCTCCAGGTCCCGTGGCAGCCTGGGCAGGGCGTTCCTGGTGTCCAGGTAGTAGGCCTTCACTTCCTCATCCTCATCATCCTCCAGCTGAAGGGCTGGCTGGTTGGGGAAGGTGTGTGGGCTGCAAGATGCCCCTGTCCTCAGCACATCCAGCTGGGCCTTGTGATCAGCTAGCCACAGTACAGGCTGGTCCTGGTCCCAGTTGCTGTCCGAGGGCTCCACATTTACCTGCTGGAATGTGTAGCTGGTATCCCCATTGAGGGCCAGGCTGGTCATGCCTGATGAGTGGGGGATGCTAAAGATAGGGTATCTGGTCACTCGGTCCATGTTCTAGAGGTGTCAGCCCACCACGGGTTTCCAGGGTGGAGATGCTGTAAGCTCCCTGAGGATGAGAGGATGAGAAGGAATGACAGCTACCAGGTCGGAATACTGGGGGAGAGGCACGATGGCCAGTTCCTTAAAGGGAAAAGTCCCACCCAAGTGGCCTCTGTGATTAGTTCAGGGAAGGGCAGTGACTCAACTTGGCCAATGACATGAAATACTGGGACTTGGCAATGAATGTGGAAATAGTACCCTCTTTCTGTTAGTACCCTCTTTCTGGTGGGATGAAACAGAGATTCTGAGGGGCCATACATGCCTCTCTGTGGGCATAGCCTGCTTGAGAGCAACCCCAACCCCAACACAACATCCTAAAAGTGTTATTTGAACTCCTGGATCCAGCCACACCTGAATCTTGCCCCTGAACTGATCCAACTCTCCCCATGTGTGTCTGACATTTGCAGGCACCCCTGCTCATCGTCTCCCAGACACTGCACACCCTGCTCGGGCATCCCCTTCTGCCCTAATCCTACTCCTCCCCTTTTCCACTCAGTTCACTGTGTCCAGACCCAAAGCCATCCCTGGGGTCCCTGGGCCACCGATGGGTCTCCGCCAGTACATGCATATGCCTCTCTCTCAGGGCACACACACACACACATTCTGAAGTTCCCTTTGTGATTTTGTTTTTGTAATTGATTTGAGAGAGAGAGAGAGAGAAACATTGAGTTGTTGTTCCACTTATGTACGCATTCATCGGTTGATTCTTGTATGTGCCCTACCAGAGATCCAACCTGAAACCTTGGTGTATCAGGACGATGCTCTAATCAACTGAGCTTCCTGGCCAGGGCTCTGTGATTGTTTTCATCTGATATTTACAGAGGGTTCCAGCAGGCATGCCTCTCGCTGAAGGATGTCCAGTGGGAAAACAGGCCCAGAGAGGGGCAGCAACTGGTAGAGACTTCAGCTTTCCGGATCCCACATCCTGGTTCTCTCTACTGCACCTGCCCAGCAGGACACCTTTTCCCATCCCAGACAACGCCCCCACACCCCACCCCACCGCAGTCCCATAAAACCAAGACAGTCTAGGGAATGCCTTGGACCTTGTCCTGCTGGGCCAGGCAACACCCCGACCCAGTGCCCCACGGAGGCCCAGTCCTGCCAAGTGTCCAGATTCCTGCTGATCATAGGTCTAGGAGCTTTCTAGAAGGTCACACATCTGATCTCACACCTCTGATGCTCCTGGCATCTCCAGGGTTCAGTTCTCACTACCTTCCTTAGGTGCTTGAGGCCTCCGTTTGGTCTCAGCACAAACTTCCAAACTCTGTAGGTGCCTCCACCCCAAACCTGACCCTCTTCCCCGCCCTTGCAGCTCCCTTTACCTGGATGGAGGTCCCTCGTTTCTGCACCTCCACAGCCTCTTTAGCTGTAGATCACAGGACAGCTCCTCCAGGAAGCCCCCAGATTGGAGCCCATCATCTCAGCATCTCTTGTGTGCCTGGCCCAGCACCTAGTGTTAGGTGTCACCTTTTTACAGCCAAGGAAAGGAGGATGAGCTGTTCCCAACTCCTCAAGCAGCCCTTGTTCTCAGACCCTTGTTCTTGGACCAGAGCTACTGTGTATGTCTGCTGCCTTTTTACACCAACTTGCTTGTAAAGGCTAAATGTAGTTCTAAAAAGGAAAACACACCATGTCCTTGAACTGGGGAAGTGTCCTCAAGAAACATAAAATCGATCATGGAAACAATGTTACAACTAGCAGGTTATGTATCACGCAATCTTTTGTATATATCAAATATTTAAAGTATAATTAGAAAACCAATATTTAAAATAGAGGCTTGGATAGGAAACTTTAGGACACCAGGTTAACCCACTATCCCAATGACCCAGCAGCCCCCTACAGAGATTTTCTCTTTGAAAGTTGTTGGGGGGTGAACATATGTTTGAAATGGAAATAAGCTTATTTAAGGCCTGTCTTCTCCCACCTGAAGCCATCAGCCCAGGACCCTCTCTCCCAGGGGCCCCAGGTGAGCACCACTCCTTCAGCCCAGAGTCTGGTATTCAGCAGGTACTTAATAAAAGCTGACTGAATAGGGTGTGATCTCTGCAAACATTACTCACCCCAGGTTCTCAGGATGTGGGAGTTGGGTTATTTTAGCTGCAGACCCTCCAGACCACAGCTTAGCTTGTCCTCTGGGTCAACTCTGTCCCCATGCCCTGGGGCTTACTGGGAATGACAGGTGTGGCAGGCGTGATGCAGGAGTGGTTTTTTTATTTTTTATTTATTAATTTGTTTTTATTACAGATGTTTCTCATTTTCCTCCCATTGACACCCTCCTCCCCTTCCACCCAACAGGAGTGTTTGCTGAGTGAATAGCTGGATATTCACTCACCAGGATGTATAACCCACAGGGGACATTAACTCCTGGGAAGAAGATCTGCCTGCCCAGAGGGTGTTGGGTCAGGTGGGGCGAGGGTGGAGGCGCCACTTCCTCCTTTGCCCATTTCTCCCAGGTGATTAATTGAGGACAATAAAGGGTGGGACTCAGGCTGGGTCTTGGGTTCAAGGTCCCAGGGCCCCTCTCACCTGTGGCCTTGAGCTAGCCTCAGCTCACCCCTCATTTTTTCCTCACAAGATCTTGTGATAAGAGGACCATTTTTTAAAAATCCTCACCCGAGTACATTTTTCTGCATTTATCTTCAGATAGAGGAGGGAGAGAGAAAGAGAGAGAGAAACATCGATGTGAGAGAGACACATAGAATGGCTGCCACCCACTCAACCCCAACTGGGGCCGGGGACAAACTGCAACCGAGGTACGTGCCCCTAGCATACCAAACCGGCCAAGGCCCAGCTCACTTTCTTCCAAACCTCTTTGGTACGCAGGCCGAAGCTCTAACCGCTGAGCCAAACTGGCCAGGGCAAGAGGACCATTCTTATCTCCAATTTACAGCAGAGGGGACTGAGGCCCAGAGAGGGGAAGTTGCTCACCTAAGGTCACACAGGAGTGACAGAGCAACAGGTCCTGAAGCTTGAACTCTCACTTCCAGTCAGTTGCCACCTCCTTCAGGAAGCCCTCCTGGGTTGCTCCTCCTCAGCCCCACCCCCTGGTGCCTCACATCTGCTTCCTCATCACCAAAATTGGCCTTCTGCCATCAGGGCAAAGGCCTGATGGAGGGGCTGAGGCTCAGACAAGGAAGGTCACACAGCAGGGAGGGGCTCCAGGGATTCCTCTACCATCACTCACAGCTACAGTCCTCCACGCCCCTGGCTTGGCAGAGCCCCCAACCCTTTGACACATGACTGAGTCTGTGTTTTGGGCTGAACAGAGCTAAGACAAAACCCCTATGCTGACATGGCACACACTAACCCATCCCCACCCCCAACCCTCTTCCGGAGTGCCCCTACCAAGCCCCAGACCCTGTGAGGGTGTTGTATGCTGCTCCCTTAGCAAGGTTCTGGTTGGTGCTAAGTGCCTACCTAGCAGCCTCCAGGATTCCCAAGACCCATGGGCAGAGGGAGGCTCTCTGGCCTCTGGCCATGGTGCCAATCAGGCCCTTCCCTTGGAGGGTCAGGGCTCAGTGTTTTTGGATTTGGGGCCGGAAGCCCAGGGTGGAGACTGAGACTCTGGCAAGGTTCAGAGATGGACCCTCCACTCCCCAGGGTAGGGGGGGGCAGGGCAGGAAGGACACAGACCTCAGGGTTTCAGAGCAATGGGAATGAAGGGCAACGGGAGAACCCCACCAGCCCCAATGACCCAAGCTAGGTCCAGAGGGGTACGGGGTAAGAATGGGATGCCTCTCTCCCTGCATCCCAAGGGTCCCACAGGTGAGCGAATAATGTCAACTGACACGCCAATCTCCATGCCAAAAACAGACCCCACACCATGCAGGACCCCACCCCACCGTAGCTTCATGTGCGTCCTGCTCCCTCATGCCCGCAGTCTCTCACCTGCCAGCTCCGGGCCCCCAGTAGCCTCCAAGCCTCGGCTCCACTCTGGCGGCGCTGCACTGCCTACAGGTTGCCAAGGGACAGTGCCCCACCCAAGGCAGGCAGGTGCACTCCCTCCGCCGCCGCCGCCGCCCCACCCGGGCTCAGGACACAAAGTCCGGAGGAGGAGGGAGAAAGGCGATACCCAGGCAGGGCGGAGGGCAGGCACCATGCCCACTGCACACTGCCCCAAGCCCCCAGGGCCTCCAGCTTCTGGAGCTGGAATTCACCAGAAATCTCCCTCTAGCTGCCACCTGGCTTTCCCACCATCCTTTAGTGCCACTCAGAGAGGGGTTGTCACTTGCCCAGGGTCACACAGCAGGTACATGAACCAGCTGCTTGTTTCTGGATTGTGGGGGTCTGAGCCCAGATCTCCATGGTGCCACCTGGCTCTGCCCACCCTTGGGGCTACTCCCCCAGAGTCCTTTTCTGGGACAAGCCCAGTTTGCCCATCTCTGGAGGATTCAGTGGGTCTGGGTTCAAATCCTCATAGCCTCTGTGAGTCTCTGTTTTCTTCTCATGAAAAGGGGCCATCACACAGCTGGGAGAATTTCCCAGGCTACTTGGAGATGAATTCCTGATTGAGGATATCAAAAGTGCCAGAAAATGAGGGTGGGTGGGCAAGGCCCAGGTCCCACTGACAGAAGGAGCACTGAGGCACTAACTGGGTGCTCCCAGGTGCTCAGCTGTCCTGCCTGATTCTTGGTTGAGGTGCAGAGAATGGCCAGGGCTATAGGAGCCCAGTGTTTATGAGGAAGTCAGGCCACTGGGCCAGCAGCCAGTCTCCAGGGGAGTGAACACAGTAGACTGGGCTGGGGCTCTGTCCTGTTCCTTGGCTGGCTGCGGGGTCCCTCTCAATCTCAGTCTCTTCTTCCATCGAATGGATCCGAGCCCCAAATCTGGCAGGGCTGCCTCGGATGGAGGGTTTGAGACAGGTCCAGATGAAGGGCCCAGCTCAAACGACAGCTTATGCATGCAACGTGAACCAGTTTTGTGAGAACCTGGGGTGGGCAGCCTTGCTGTCTCCTCCCCACACCACTGCAGGTCCTTTCATCTATTTCGCAGACATGGAAACTGAGGCACAGCAAGCTTCAAGTCCTAAGGGAAGTGTTAGTGGTGGGGCTGGGATTTGAACCTGAGCCTTCCGTAGTTACCACCCTATTGCTCATATGGGAAAACTGAAATCCAAAGGGCAGAGACTGCATCACCCAGTGTGCTGGGGCACTGTGGAAACAAGGACCCCAATGTCCTGCTCCCAAATAGGGTGGCCCCCCACTCAGGGTTCAAAACCTATTGAACAGATGGGTAAACTGAGGCCCAGGGGAATAGCAACTTCTCCCAGTCACAGTGAAGCAGAACAGGGTTGTAATCCTCTTAAATGTGTCCTCCCCTGTGGCCCCATCTGTTTTCCAGAGACAGGTTCCCTGCAGAACTTAGGGGTGTCTGTGGGGTCCTTTTGGTTTCCTGGGGTGCTGTGAGCCCATCAAGGGTCCCTTGCAGCCAAAGGATAGGAGAGGAGCCTGGTGGGTATAGAATGAAGGGTTCTGCAGGAAACAGAAAGCAAGTTCTGATACTGGTTGTTACCCCTTTACCTCTAGGTCTTACCTGCCCAGGTGCAGCCCAAATGTGTTCAAGTGCAGGTGTGGCCTCCACTGATGTCCCCACCACAGTATCAGGTGAGCTGGAGGAGTTCAGGGGCCCCAAGCAGCCTCCCTTTATGTCTGGCCTAGCAGGCCCCACCCTGTGACTGGCCACATCCTCCCGGCCCCAGGGAAATCCAAGAACTCCAGGACCCGGGGTGTTCACAGGGTTTATTTGCTTCTCTGGGAAAGTCAAGAACACGGGCCTGTCACACATCAAAAGCAGAGGGGCAGCAAGGGCACTTCAGCGGAGGCTCTCAGCTCGAGGACTTGGCAACTCGAGGAGGGAGGGGGTCCATGCCACTGCTGGGGGCCACCTCCAAGAGGGACTCTCCTCCCACCACTGAGGGGCAGAGCTGAGATGAAATAGGCCAGGCTGGTTTCAGGTGGCCCCTACACGGCTCTGTGGAGGTGGGGGTGGGGGGTCTGGGGGGCCATCTCAGCCTGGGCACCAGGCAGTTGGGGGGTGGGCCCAGGGGAGGGACCCAAGATGGGGCCTTGTCATCCTACAGCCCACACAGGGGGTCTGTGAGCATGGGCATGAATGTGCCTCTGAGGATGAGTGTGGCTACAACCTGGGAGATGTGTGTGCACATCTAGGTGTCAGCTCCCCGCCGGAGGAGAGTCCCTCACCCCTTCCAGTGAGGGGGGCAGGCTCATATTGGCCTGGTAGCCAATGGGGATCTCCTGCTCCAACCCAGGGGAAGCTCCCTGCCCCAGGCTGTGTGCCCCTCCGCCGCCCAGAATGTGCCAAGCCCAGCAGAGCTGGCAGTGGGCCTGATCTCTGGGGTATGGTTAGGGAGATCCAGGACCCTGGCCCAAGCAGGCTAGAGAATGGGCTGGGGCAGCCCCTCAGGGTCCCCATATTAGCACCAGGAGGAAGGAGGGCCCAGTGAGGGTGGGAGCTCAGGACAAAAAGTGGCTCACGTGGCCCTACCTTGTGCAGGGGGCAACTCAAAGGCCCTCACCAGCCCCATCTAGAAGACAGCACAGGGGTCATAGACTCCCCCCAAGTGGGGTGTATGTCCTCTGGGCTCTCCCTTCCTAGGCTCCATCATGCACTGGCCACGCCCACGGAGAGCATCAAGAAAAGGGCACACTGGGCTGGGGTGTCCAGAGGGGCCCCTGTTCCACTGTAAGAACTGGAGCCTGGTTTCTGACTGAGGCTTCCCAATGAGGCACAGCCTCACCCCAACTGCCCAAGATCCCGGCACCAGTGCCTTTGCCAGGTAACCCTACTTCCTGGGGCTGAGTGGGGACAGAAAAGGCCCCCAGGACCCTTCGGCTCTCCAGTGCCTCTCTGGCAGGAAGGCACAGGCAGGACGCCCAGAGGGTAGCGGGCTTGCGTGGCCCAGGTCCCACCAGCTAGGAACTCTGTGGTTGAAAGCCCGTCTGTGATGCTGCCGTGACATGTGGGGGATCCTCATTTTGGGAAAAGTGGGTCTGTCTGCGTCTCTGTCCTACCAGGCACAGGCACACAGCTCAGTGGTTCAGGGTGTGTCGGGATGGTGATGGGTGCGAGACCCCTGTCCCTCTCTTTCCAGTGAAAGAAAACTCAGAAGGAAGATGTGACAACACGGCATGTCCTGGGGCCCATGATTGTGGGTGGAGGGTGGGCAGGCACCGGGGCCGAACTGTGGGTCTCTGTGGTGTGGAGGGTGGGGCCGGGGTCTGGGGCCTGCAGCTCACATGATGGAGCAGCATTTACAACGCTGCTTCTTCATGTCAAGGTCCTGGGTGTCGCTGGCAGGGGCCTCAGGCCCCATCTGGTTCTCTTCCCTGGAGCCGGAAGTGGTAGGGGGCTCAGCTGCACTACCGTTGGGCGGGGCAGCCTCCTTGGGTTCAGCCTCATCCTCGATGACCACCAGCTCCGCCGTGATGGTGTCCTGCAGCCCCAGCACTTTCTGGGTTTCTGCCTCATCCTCCACATTCTGGTATCCCATGAAGATCATGGTGACTGGGGGCTCCTGGCCGGGCTGGATGCCTGGTGGGCCTGAAGTGGCCTCACCAGGCTGTGCCTGCACTCCTGTGATCTCCCGCCTGGAGGGTGTGGTGGTCCGGACGGCCTCCTCAGATGTCCCCCCGGTCTCTGCTGCCCCAGCCACAGGCCCTGCCTCACTCAGTGTGACCTCATCTGCCTTGTGGATGAGTTCGTCCACCTCAGAGGAGCTCAGTGGCTGGATCCCATTCACCGCAGTGCCATCCATGGCATGGACCACTGGTGGGGTGGAGAGAGAGAGAGTAAGACAAGAGAGAAGGCCAGGCAGGTCTGCAAGCCAACCTCCAGGGTAAAGAGAAAATCATAAACCAAATTAGATGGACAATCTAAGCTCCTTTTTGGGATCTGTGGACATAGCAAAACTGGTGCACGGAGGAAAATTCATGGGCACAAAAGCACTGGTTATAAACAAAGAAAGGCTGGAATTCAATGAATTGGGATGTTATTGTTTTGCATTTTGAAGTATTTGTACTTGCAAAGTAGTTCTTTTTTTATTTTTCCTATTGAAAAGATGGTAGAAACAGAAGTTCAGAGAAGGGAAGTAATTAGCACAAGGCTACACAGCTGGCTAGTTGAACCGCGACTCTGAGGAGTTGCAGGGATCCTGATTTCTCCCTTCCTCTGGCTTGTGTGGTTGATCCTGAATTAAATTTAGTTCATTCACCCAGTCTTTCTTGTTTTCCTATAAATGCCCCAAAGTCTATACCTTCTCCTCTGAGTTCAGCTTTGGCTGAAGCCCATGGCTTAGATTACTTTGTTCTCTTTCAAGTTTAAATATCTTATAATTTCCATTTTGATTTATTGCCAAGATTTATTTAGAAACATGTTTTTAAATATTGGGGAGTGAGGGACTGTGGTCTGGGGACACAAAGCATAGATATTATGGACACTTATGCAGCTCAGAACATGCTCATTTTCTGAAAATGCTCTTACCTGTGTTTGACCAGAACATGCATTCTCCATGGGGCAGTTTTATACCTGAAGTCAATCTTTTTTTCCCCCAACCCCCTACAATCAATCTTGTTAAATGCATTTTCCAAATCTCTCCAACTTTCCTGCTCCATGTCTCTGATCTGTCACTTTCTGAACTGTGTTGCAGTCTCTAAGGATGGGATTTCAGCACCAAGAGGAGTCCCAGCCACAGTCAGACGCCAGCTTCAGATCACAGCCCTAGAAGCACAGCTGCCTGGCTGCCCAGGGAGGAGGGAGGGACCAACAGAGCCCAAGTATTCATCTCCTCCCAGACCAAAGGTCAGAGCTCCGATTTCTGGCTTCTGGCCAGAAGAAAAGTGCTCTCAACTTTCTGTCTCCAAACCCCCAGAGAGGGGAGGTCCATGCTTCAAGGCCTCGAAGTGACTTTGGGCTGGAGGCCCAGAGGATGGGTGTGCCCAGGTGATACAGAATCAAGCTAAGTGTTTCCCACTGGCCACTGACCCAAGATAGGAATCTGAGCTCTCTGCTGCCATGGAAATGGATCACCTTCCCATTGCTAAGAAACCAGAGTCCAGTCCGGAGGGTCCTGACTCCCAAGGGGCTGGGTCAGGCTGGGCAGAGTGGCCATGTGAGGACCTTCTGCTAGTACAGACATCTCTTTTGCCCCTCCTCCCTGTGAAGTCATTTCTGCCCAGGAGACAGGCAGCTGGGACTTGCCCAGGACCACACAGCTGGTGAGAGCTGGACCCAGAGCACCACCTGGGTCTATGCCCCAAACCACGGCAGAACTGGGCTATAATGGGGCCCCCATAATAGCCTTCTGGACACTGCAGGCGCTCAAATAACAATTAAGAACATGATCTTGCCCTGGCCGGTTTGGCTCAGCGGTTAGAGCGTCAACCTGCGGTCCGGAGAGACCCGGGTTCGGTTCCCGCTAAGGGCATGTACCTCGGTTGCAGTTTGTCCCCGGCCCTGGTCGGTCGTGCGGGTGGCAGCCACTCGATGTGTCCCTTTCACATCGATGTTTCTCTCTCTCTCTCTGTTCCTCTCTCTCCCTCCCACTCTACCTGAACAAAAAAATGGGAAAATGTCCTCGGGTGAGGATAAAAAAAAAAAAGAACATGATCTTTGGAAATCAAAACCACAGTGGAATGTCACTTCACACCCAATAAGATGGCTATACTACTAACCAAAAAAAAAAAAAAAAAGGACATTAACAAGTGTTGTCAAGGATGTAGAAAAATTGGAACACTCATGCACTCCTGGTGGGAAAATAATATGGTACAGCCACTACGAAAAACACCCCAGCAGTTCCTCATAAGGTTAAGCAGAGTCCTCATATGACCCAGCAACTCCACTCCTAAGTTATCTGCCCAAGAGAAGTAAAAACATTCACCCACACAAACTTATAAAACCATAAGGTGGAAACAACCTAAATGTCCATCAATGGATGGCTGGATAAACATAATGTCGTCCATCCAAGCATGAGAATAGCATTCAGCCATAAAATATGAACATGGGTGGACCTTAAAAACACAATGGTTCATAAGAGAAGCCAGACACAGAAGACCACACTGTGTGTGAGTCCATTAATGTGAAATGTCCAGAACAGGCAAATCCACAGAGACAGGAAGTGGGTTAGTGGTTGTCAAGGGCTGGGGGGATGGAATGATGGGGGTTTCTATTTGGGGAACAAAACTGTTCCAGAATTATATAGTAAGGGTGTACAATGTGGTGAATATACCCAAACCCACTGAATTGTGCCCTACATACTTTGTATACCATTTTCTCACAAGGGGAACGTTTGTGGATGTGCTGATGGATTCTAGAGCTGAGCTGTATTCATCATATATTTGATTCAGGTCCTGGGAACTCAATTCCATGAAGAAAGCAAATGTTTGCCTTGATTTTAAAAAGAAATATATTTGCATTGATTTTTTACATAGAGAGAAAGAAAGATAGAAACATCGATGTGAGAGAGGAACATTGATTGACTGCTTCCTGCACACCCCCTTCTGGGGGTGAAGCCTGCAACATGGGCTTGTGCGCTGACCAGGAATAAAATCAGGACCTCTCAGTCCATGGGAGGACGCCCAATCCACTAAGCCACATCAACTGGGCTGCCTTGATTTTTTATTGTACCTTTTTAATGTCTTTTTAAAAAAAATTCTCACCCAAGGCCATTTTTTCCATTTATCTTCAGAGGGAGGGAGAGGGAGAGAGAGAGAAATATCAGTATGAGAGAGACACATGGACTGGTTGCCTCTCACACAACCTCGACTGGGGCTGGTGACAAATCGCAACCGAGGTACGTGCCCTTGACTGGAATTGAACCCACAACTCTTTGGTCCGCGGGCCGAGGCTCTAACTGCTGAGCCAAACTGGCCAGGGCTTAATGTCTTCTTAAAACATATTTTGTCGCCTTGGCCGGTTTGGCTCAGCGGTTAGAGCGTCGGCCTGCGGTCCTGAGAGACCCGGGTTCGGTTCCCGCTAAGGGCGCGGACCTCGGTTGCAGTTTGTCCCCGGCCCTGGCCAGTTGTGCGGGTGGCAGCCATTCGATGTGTTCCTTTCACATCGATGTTTCTCTCTCTCTCTCTGTTCCTCTCTCTCCCTCCCACTCTACCTGAACAAAAAATGGAAAAATGTCCTCTGGTGAGGATAAAAAAAACCAAAAAACACAAAAAAAACCCACATATTTTGTCCACTGAAGTGGCTTTGTTTTCTTTTACTAGCATCACAGTAAATACAGCCTAGAATTTTTCCTCCCCAGGGTCCTTTATGTATATCCTATGGGTCACGCCAAAAAGTGAACAAAAGTTTAAATGCCAAGATGTTTATGAAACTGCTCTGTAAATACTGATGGAATGCACAGTTTAAATAAACATTGTCCTGCCCAGGCTGGGCTACTCAGTTGGTTGGAGTGTTGTCCTGTACACCAAAAGGTAGTGGGTTTGATTCCCCATCAGGGCACATACCTAGGTTGTGGGTTAGATCCCCAGTCAGGGCATGTATGGGAAGCAACCAATTGAGGTTTCTCTCACATCGTGTTTCTCTCTCTCTCTCTCTCTCTCTCAAGTCAATAAAAACATATCCTTGGGTGAGAATTACAAAAATAATAAATAAATAAATGTTTTCCTTATTTAAATGAGAATGAATTTGTTGGTATGTGAATTACACACACACACACACACACACACACACGTGTGCGCGCGCGCGCGCGTTCGCGTGCTTTGGGGCTTTTGTGTTCCAGGCTTCCTAGTGGGTGTCTCCTACAGCCTGTTTCCCTCCCAGTCACCAGGGGGAACCCTAAAAAACAAATCAGATCTCACTGCCTGCTTCCCCACTTTCCTCCCTCCACTCTGTATCAGTCCATAGGCTCCTCTTGGTTCCTCCAGCACAGAAACCTCCCACCTCAGGGCCTTTGCACATGCTGTGGCCTCTGACAGGTGCACTGTTCCTCCATACCCTGCTGTGCATCCAGTGAACTCCTGCTTACCTCCCCTGAGGATCCTCCACTGGCCTGCTAGACCAGCTTGTGGTCCCCTCTACATCTCTGGGGCTTGTTGTAGCCTCTATCACAAGAGTAATTATTTCAACAAGTTATCTGTGAGCTCAGGATTGAAGGGCTTGGCTCACTGACCCCGGAATCCCACTGGGGATTCACTTCCTAGAGCCCAGTCTGGCACCTGGTGCTCAGCCAGCCATCAAGGCAAGTGCCGGGGCCCTGGCCGGTTTGGCTCAGTGGTTAGAGCGTTGGCCCGCAGACTAGAGAGTCTCCGGTTTGGTTCCTGCTAAAGACGCAGACCTTGGTTGCAATTTGTCCCTGGCCCCAGATGGGGTCGTGTGGGTGGCAACCAGTCAATGTGTCTTCTCACACTAATGTTTCTCTCTCTCTCTTCCCTCTCTCCCTCCCGCTCTATCGGAAGATAAATGCAAAAATGTCCTCAGGTGAGGATTTTTTAAAAAAGGCAAGTGCCGGGAGTGAAGGAAGGACTGGGCTACAGGTCCAAGCAACAGGGAACTGAAGGGGATGAGACCCTGGCCCTGAATGGCATCTGTCAAATCAGATGGGATTCAGGCTCTGGCTCAGGCAGTTAGAAGGGGCTTGAGGCAAGGGATGGGGGGTCTCGTACCTTTGGTCTCGTCCTCGTAGACCTTGACGCCCTGAGGGAATGGCTCTCGAGGGAGCAAGGTGGTGCTGGACAGCACCCGGGTCTCCCCAGTCACCTTGTCCTTCTCCACTGTGATCTCAACCGAGTACATGGCTGGCATAAGAGGCACGGGTTACACCATGGCCACCCGCTCAAGTGCCCCCCGCTGGGCTGCAGCCAAGCCAGGGAGGGTAGCTGGTAGCACAGAGCCAAGCAGTGGGGACACACTAGGTGCAGACCTGCCCAGCTCAACATCCTACCATGGCTCCCCAGTGCCCTGGTCACAGGTCTGGATTCCTCTGCTCCACACGAGGTCCATCCTTACTATCCCACCCCATCTAGAAAACCTTAAATTATCCTGTTTGCTCAGAGGAGAGAGTATATAGAGGGCTGCTTTGCCCATGGTCACAGCTACAATCGGAACTTGGGTTAACAGGTCAGACTGTCCTGGAGCCCCGCATTATCTGTCCTTCACGCCTCTCTTAAGTCAGCTATGAAACTTTTCCTCATCTACTTCTCTATGAAGAACTGATAATTCCCTCTTGAAATAAATGAATGTCGTTAGCCCTTAGGACCACTATTCCATGGCCAGCTTCTGGCCTGCGTTCTGTAGAAATCATTACCACAAAACTGAGTCCTAGCACTGATCCCCAAGGACCTTACCTGGTATACCAGTATCTCACTGCCTCCTCCACCCTACCCTTGGGGTCCCATGGGAGCCCCTGTATCACCATGTCCAAGAGCCCCTCCCAGTCTGCCCCACTACACCTGTCCCTCCTGGGTCTTCCTGTCCCAATCAGAGCAGCTCCTTCCTCTCCCTCTCTCATCCCTTACTCTGTCCATCTGAAACTCTTGTGGGTTCCATCATCGGAATACCCTGAACCCAGCACAATTCTCACCTTCCCCAGCCACCCCAGCAGCCCACAGTCTGTTCTCCCACAGCCACAAGAGGGCGCACGTGAACACCCGAGTCAGATTTAGCCCTGGCCTCCCACAGCTTGTCTTACCGCAGCCACCAGATTGCGCCAGTGAGCAGCGAGTGGGGCACATCCCTGCTCCGCCAAGGGCCTTCCCTGGCTCCCATGCCCAAAGGACCCTGTAGGATCTGCAATGTCACCTCCTTGTACTAAGTTCGTCCCTCTCCCTCACTTACTCTTCTCCAACCACACAGGCCTCCCTGCTGTTCCTCCAACATACCAGGCATCGTTCAGTCTCAGGGCCTTTACATGTGCAGTGCCCTCTACCTGGACCACACTTACCCTAAATGTCTATATGCCTTGTTTCTACACTTCTTTTGGGTCCTTGCTCAAATGTCATTTCCTAACTTCGGCCTCCCCTGAGCCCTTTTAATAAAACTGTCCCCCCTCCAGCTCCCCATTGTCTGCCCTATTCTCTCCATTAGTTAATTTTATGGACCGTGGCTCCCATCAGAATATCAGCTCCCCCAGGCTGCGTCACTCACACCTGGCACAGAGCAGGGGCTCAATAAGCACTTGTTGAAAGAATGAATCAATGTTATTTAATTCCATGTTCCTACACAGTCCAACACCCCCATCCACAGACACAGAGTTGGGCAGGTCATACACTGCATGAGACTGCTGACTGAAGGGACAAATTGGGGCCTCTGGGCTCAGTGCTGCTCATTCTGGCCTGAGCTGGGCTAATGGGCACAGAAGCCCTGACAGTGCCCTCCCCTCCCCCCACACACACACCATCCCCCTGCCTCTTGCCCCCTGTGGGAAAACTCCACCTGGATCCTGCAGGAGACCCTGGACCTCCCCTGCTGCATTCCCCCTACTGTCACATCCCACCCACCCTGCCCCTAAGAGGGTCTTCACCTCCCAACTTGCTCCAATAACAGCAGGAGCAGCAAGAAGGTTCTGCCTTCTGCTCTGACTTATCATTGTTCGTGGGCTGGCTCTGTGCCAGGCCTCAGGTGTGAGGTCACTACACTCCCACATCTCCTGCGGGTAGAGACTCAGGTGCCAGGTGTTGGGGGACAGAGCAGGGATTTAAACTAGACCTCCTAGAATGCTTAGCACTAGCCCTGTCTCTCCCTGCTTCCTAGAAGGAATGCCTGAGGCCCAGCTTGGTCACCTCCAGGGACAGGGTACTCACTCCCTCTCCTGAGGCAGCCTGACTGTAGAGGATGATTTACAGTGTATGCGGGTATGTTTGAACATGTGCACCATCCCCACAGGGTTCCAGGAGCTAGTGGCATGGTTAAAGGGATGGAAGCCGTGAGAAAATGATGGGTTAGAGCGGCCATGCGAGGGGGCCCATCTTCTTGGGGAAGCTGGACCGGCGTGTGACCAAGGAGCCAAAGCAGAGGCATTGCCCAGGCCCTTCCCCAGGCTTGGAGCTACAGCCTTGGTCCAGCTATCACCCCCATAACCATAGGCTCCCCAGGGCCAACACTCGGCCCAGGATAGCTGCTGGACATGGGGGCCTGGGCTGGGGGCTGACCTACCTGCCTTCATCATGGTGGAGCCTTCCACCATCCTCACAGGGGTGTTGGAGACTTGCTTCTCTGCTTGGGAGGCAAAGAGCGAAGAAAGATGAGGGTCAGAGGAGAGATGATGATGCAGACCCTCCACAGACACCTAGACATCCCCCAGACACGTGGACACCTTCTACGCACTCAGACACTTGGCCCCTCACCTAGCACACACACACCCGAACCCCCCAGACACACTTGGAACCTCTCCTCCCACAAAACACACATCAATCCACAGTCCATTTCCTGTCTCTCAGCCCAAGTGATTTTCACAAAATCCCTAAGAGGCCTGCATAGATTTTTTTTAATTATAAATTTTTAATTCCGAAGTAAGACAAGGAGAGACTCTCCTTATGAATAATTAACACAAAATAAATCAGGCGAAGACACTTCAGGCCACCACCTTCAATTCTAGCTGGTGACTCTCCTTCCATGCCTTACATAGGAAAGTAGACAAGTTTAATATATATTTTTAAAATATAATTTACATTAAATATAAAAACTTTAATATATTTAATATGTTTAATAAACTATTATATTTATACCTAAGTATGTATGTTTAAATGTCCTATATACATGTAAAATATTTACAAATGTATATATTATACCTATAATAATTTGGGGGGAGGCGTAAAATGGGCCCCAGAGTTCAAACTTTGGACTTTTTTATTTGTTGGTTTTCTGGACCCTTGTTCTTTATGGTGCCTGATCCCCAGGACTGTGGGGACCTTGTTCTCCCCATGAGTCCCTTTGAATTCTCATCCCCACAGACCCCATTTTACAGATGTGAAAACCAAGGCACTACCCACCCCTCGCCTGCCCAGGAGCTCAGAGCAAGAGGACAGAGAGGGTCAGCCAAGGCCAGGCACCTTCGAGAGGACAGGACGGACCCAGAGTCTCAGCTCTGGGGCTAAGACCTCAGTCAGTCAAGCCTCTGCAAGGCCTGTTTCCTCATCTATAATGGGATGTGTGGGGGGTTTGCTGCAGCAACTCCACCCCAGGGATGTTGTGAAAACTAAGTGCAATGATGATGAGCGCATGGGCCCAGGCTCCAAGTCCAGCTCCTTGAGATTAGTAACAGTAAGAGTCTTGTTGCTATTATTGCTACTTATTAGCAACAAGGCGTGCCCGCCATCCCCACTCTGGACACTAGAGGGTGCTGAGGCCTGGCCAGTTCCTTCCAGAAGCGTACCTTTGGGCGTGCCCACCGGGGTCTGCAAGAAAGAATGGAGAGGGGTCAGTGGTGCCCCCCTCCCACTAACCAGGGTCCCACCTGTGGGGGTAGGAGCCTGGGGAGGGTATGGCTCAGCTGTGACCCTGTCTCAGGTGCCATCGCCTCCTGGACCCATCCCCCGCCCCCGACCTAGCCTGTGACACAGATGTCCCTGCCCTGCTAAGAAGCAGCAGTGGCTCCCTAGTCCCAGAATCCCTTTTGACAATGCCCTGGGCTCTATGTTAGTAGACCCTTGCCTACCAGCCTGCCTTCCTCCCTCTATCTCTGGCTGGCTTCCCTGGCCTCACTGCTCCTTGAACACATTCCAGTTCTAGGGCCTTTGTGTGTCTCCTCTACCTGAAAGACTATTCCCTAGATTTCATTTGGCTGGCTCATCTCTCAGTTCCCTGACCACCCAATCCAAAGGCCGTCCCCTGCATCATCCTGCAGTCTCTTGAGTTACTACTGTATATTATCTGCCCAGCCAGTGCTCTGTCTCCCCCTAGGATATGGACATCATGAAGGCAGGGACCATGCCAACACAGTCTATGCTCAATCTCATTGAACGCCCCTCATCTCAAGTTTATACTTAGAGAACTCCTACTCGACCTTCAAAACCCACTTCCTCTGGGAAGTTTGCTCAGCCTTCCCATGAATCAGATGCCTCCTTGGGCATCTGGAGTGGGGGTAACAAGGATTGATAGGGGGAAAGGAAGTATGTCCCACAGGCCCCTTGAGTCCTAAACACAAACGTGGTTGGGAGACTCCTGAATTTTCATGAAAGTATTGTGGTGACCACAAGCTTGGGGCCCAATATTCCAGGGTCTGGTATCAACAGAAACTGGAATAGACATCAGACCCCCCTCTCTCAATCTCTCTTGGCCTCAGCTTTTGTCTTCCATCCAATAGGGACACTGTTCCCACCTGAAAGGGCTTAGGCAGATGGTACCTGGAACATGCTTGGCACAGACTAGGCACGCACAGGTGCTCAATAAAAGTAATGACAATGATGACAAGCGGGTAGCATTGGTGGAAAGCTCCCTAAGTGCCAGGTCTTGTATGTGGTGCTTGATATCCATAGATTAATTTAATCCTTGTGACATCCCCAGCACGTGGGTGCTCTAACAGGTGGGGAAACTGAAGCCCAGAGGGGCAAAGCCACATGTCCCAGGTCACATGGCTGAGAAGTGGCAGGCTGAGATTCAGACGCAAGAAGCTCTGAAATCCGGCCACAGTAGGGGTGGGGTCTCACTCTGGGGCCAGCAGGGGTGGGCCCTGGGAACCTCCTTACCTGCTGAGAATTCAGCACCACCTCTGCCTTCTGGGTGTCCTTGGCTGGGCTGGGGGCTGCCACGTTCTCCTTAATGGTGGCTGGGAGTGCATCTGCATTCTCCAGCACCTCGATCTCCTTCTCTAGCCTGCGGAGAAGGCACAGAGTGACAACCCTCACTGGGCACTTCCAAATGCCCAGCACTATTTTGGGCACTTTCCATAAGGGGGCCCCTTGACTTTGATGTTTTCTAATGCTCTGTGAAGTATTCTTGTCATTTCCCCTCATGATTGGGGAAACTGAGGCAGAGTAAAGCATTCATGCAGCCAAGTAGCAGAGCTGGGACCTGGACCCAGGCTGCCTTTTACCACCTGTGCCGTTGCTGACTTCATTTGCTTCCAACTGACTTTACTTTTCTTCCACTTTACTTAAAAGTTTTTTTTCTTTATTGATTTTTAGAGAGGAAGGGAGAGAGAGAAAGAGATAGAAACATTGATGAGCCCTGGCCGGTTTGGCTCAGCGGTTAGAGCATCAGCCTGCGGTCCAGAGAGACCGTGGTTCGGTTCCCGCTAAGGGCACGTACCCTGGTTGCAGTTTGTCCCCGGCCCTGGTTGGTCGCGTGGGTGGCAGCCACTCGATGTGTCCCTTTCACATCGATGTTTCTCTCTCTCTCTCTCCCCTCCCACTCTATCTGAATAAAAAATGGAAAAATGTCCTCGGGTGAGGATTTAAAAAAAAAAAAAAAGAAACATTGATGAGAGAGAACATCGATTGGCCACCTCCTGCATGCCCCCCATTGGGGATCAGGCCCACAACCCGGGCATATGCCCTGACCGGGAATCAAACTGACGACCTTTTTTGTTTGTTTATTTTGTCCTCACCTGAGGACATTTTTTGCATCTATCTTCAGACAGAGTGGGAAGGAGAGACTGAGAAAGAGAGAGAGAAACATCGTTGTGAGAGAGACACATTGAGTGGCTGTCACCCACACAACCCCAACTGGGGCCAGGGACAAACTGCAACCAAGGTATGTGCCCTTAGCGGAAACTGAACCTGGGACTCGGGTCCACAGGCCGACGCTCCAACCACAGCCAAACTAGCCAGGGCCAAACCAACAACCTTATGGTGCATGGGTCAATGTTCAACCACTGAACCACACCAGTCGGGCCAAATACATTTATTTTTACAGGAAGCTTTATCTCTCCAGGAAAACTGGAAAAAACATGTCACTTTCCAAGTGTCAGAAGATAACTACATATAAACCCATAAAAACAAAGTTGGCATATCAAATCCTGCCCAGTTGTCCGCCACCAGAGGGACAGACAGGGTGTGAATCTGCAGCTCCCTAACACAGTAAACCCAGGTCAGCAGGATGGACACAGCTTGGGTTGCCCGGAAGGCTTCCTGCAGAAGTTGTCCAGTCAGGGGCCACTAAATGGGCAAAATTTGGGTGGTAGAGCCACCGTGAATTATTCTGGGAATTAGAAAGCCAAGCTCCCTCCCCCCACCAGAGCTGCACCCAACAGGGTGGGATGTCCACCTTGCCCAGCCAGTAATTCCAACGGGTAGTAATTTCCACCACATTTCCAAACCGTCCAGCATGTGCCACTCTGCCTGGTCAGTCCAGACTGTCTCTACATAGACTCAACTCAGCCCCCAGGTAAACGTCTGTTAGAATCAAGATGCACAGAAGAACTTCTGCCTTTCCTGTTCATAGGCAGGAAACTGAGGCCTGGAGAGGGAAATCCCAGCCCACTTTCTTTATTATTATTATTAATTAATTAATTCATTCATTCATTCCTCACTCGAGGACATTTTCTGCATTCATCTTCAGATAGAGCGAGAGGGAGAGAGGGAGGAAGAGAGAGAGAAACATCAATGTGAGAGAGACACATCGACTGGCTGCCACCCACATGACCCCAACCAGGGCCGAGGACAAACTGCAACCGAGGTACATGCCCTTAGCATACCAAACCGGCCAGGGCCCAGCCCACTTTCTTCCAAACATCAGGACAGAATCCTAGGTCCCCACCACAGGGCCAGCCTCATTGGGGCTATGGCCTAGTGTACTAAAGGACCTGGGCAGGCCTCATGTCTCTCAGGCCTTTCTCTGGCCAAGTAGACATTTGGAATTTTGGCTGTCACTTCCCTCCACCCTGACCCTGCTACCCTGGAGCTGAGCCTGGGCCTCCCGCCTGACAGGAAACTCTGGGCCTTTTGTCCCAGCCCAGGGGGGATGGTCACTTTCCCCAGCCTACCCCTCCCAGCCTTCCTGCAGGACCAGCTGCCAGTGCCTCTATGGCCTCCATTAGAACCTAGCTGGGAAGAGCTCATCAGCTGGGCTGACGCCTGGAAGCCCCTGGGGAGGCCACTGCTGGCAACTCCCATCCTCAGGGACTCCCGGATCCGCCCTGACTCCACGTACCTCATGCACCTGCTTCCCTGGAGTGTCAGGAGCAAGGAGGGGTTGAGCAGGCTGCTCAGTGCCCCTGACAGCCCACACTGCCTCCCTCAGTCACCTTAAGCCTGGTCACATGTCCCCATTAAAGCACTGAGGTCTGGCATCAAAGCCTGTGTGTCCCCCATTCCAGCATGCGGAGGTCTCCCTGCTCCCACTGCACACGAGGGGATCCCACCCTCAGGGGGATCCTCAAGGCCCACTGCTCAGGGTTCCCACACTCAGATTTTGTGCAGGTCTCTGCGACCCCCCACCTACCTGGAAATGGATTCCTCCAGGTGCCGGGCCTTCTGCTCATCCTCCTGCATCTGTCTTCTCATGTCCTTGTCTCCCTCTGAAGCGGAGGACGGTGTCCCCTCCAGCAGCCAGCGCTCCCGCAATGCCTTGGACTGGGGTGGCAGGGGTCAAAGTCAAATTCAGGGTCGGAGTCTGGGTCAGGGCACCTCAGCCTTCCTGCTCTCCCAACCCTATATTCAACTGAGGCTTGGGGTCTCTGGGCACCGCCGCCTCATCCCCACCCCCCAGCCAAGGCCAGGTCCTGGAGGGGACAGCTCGCTGCCTGGTACCTTCAGGTGCTGCAGCTGCCGCCGGTCGTCCTCCAACTGCCTCCGCTTGTTTTCAATCTCCGCCTGCTTCTTCCGTTTCTCCTGATGGACCAACAGACAGGGTGGGGTCAGGACCTGGCAGGAGCACCATGAAGACACCACCAACCCACACAAGGCTCTGGTCACACAGATCCTGCATTTTCTGTAAATGGCACCCACTTGGCCCACTGGCTCCTAACCTGCCCCCCACCATCCCGTTCTCCCAGCCTGGGCACAAGGACAGGGTTCTACTGTGCCTCAGTTTCCCCACCTTCAAGAGTGTCTAAGTGGGCTAGTGGTCTAAGAGTCCACATTCTAAGGACTAAGGAGGTCTCTGTTTTTATTCGTGGGGAGGTGCCAGCAAGCACTACTAAGTCACGGGACCCTGTACTAAGTGTAGGGAGCCCCTGAGATCCCAAGCCCCCCCCTAGCCACAGCCTCCAAGGGGCAGTAAGAACTCACTGCAATGGCCTGCAGCCGCTCCTGCTGGAATGTGGTCTCCCCAGCCAGGACCCTGGGGGGGAACACACGAGGTCAAGCCAGGGTTCCACCTCACCCCTCTTTCAGCAGATCCGGTTCAAATCCCTGCCCTGAGTCTTCCAGCTGGGTGATAGTGGCAAGAGTCTTGGCCTCCCCGAGTTTCCCTTCTGTAAAGTGGAACCCTTCCCTGTCCCCCTGAGGGGCAGCACCATTCTCTCCATCCAGCCTTATTACCTCATTAATTCTCCCAACAATTCCTCCTGCCACCCCTCAGGGCAGTACCAAGAGATGGAGGGGTGAGGTTTTGTCTAAAGCCCCAGGAAGGGTTTGGGGAGGATAGGGCATTGAGCTGGGCTATAAAGGACGCATAGGGGTTCACCAGGAATCAAAGGCTGAAGGTTGTTTTAAGTCAAGCTGTATCACCTCCTTGTCCAAATCGGGAGACTGATCAGGACAATCCCCTCCTCATCCTCCTGCCCATGGAGCACTCTCCAGCTCTGGGGTGTGGTGGTGGGTCTTGATCTCTGCCCCAAATCCCAAATGATCCCAGGGCCCCTCTGGGAGGCATGGACAGGAGGCCCAGTCTTACAGGGGCAGGGCCAATTGGGCAGAGTGGTAAGTGGGGTCTGAGTAGTGGGAGTCAAACCACCCCCCAGCTGCCCCCTTACTCTGCCCAAAGGCCCTTATCTTTACAGGGACTGAAATTACAGACCATTCTTTGATGCTACTACCACCCGCAACACTCCTTGGCCTTGTATCAAGGCCCAGAGCCACCCTGTGGCCTCCAAAGCCCCTCTGCTCCTCTGGGTCTCAGTTTCCCCACATGCACAGTTGGAGCAGACACCCAGCTCTAAACCCTCCTGTTATGTTCCCCCTCCCCTTGCAGAGGTTCAAATCACACAGTGTGCTGGGTTCACCCCAGCCCAAGCTCTGCCCCCAAGCTCCGCCCCCACCTCCACCCTGCCCAGGTGCCCTTGGGGTGCTCTATCCTGGGCCACAGTGCCCTACTCAGCTTCAGTTTCCTGGCCTCACTGAGACCTCTGAAGTCATCTGGCTCCCACGCCCCAGCCAGATGACCCCACTCAGCTCTTTCCTTCCTGGCAGGTAGCACCTGCCCCCCCCCCCCAATGCCTCCTAGGGACCCAGCAGCACCAGCTACACCCTCTGCGGCTTCTCTCTCTCTCCTTCCTAAGGGAGGCTGAGTTCAGCTGGATGGAGTTCAGGAAAAGCTTGATCCACCTATTCAGCTTACAGGCCCTTCCTGAAGGGCCAGACTGGCTAGGTTTCTGGGTCTGCCCCACTGCCTGGGTGATGCAGGCAGGGAGCCACACCTGTGTTCCCATGTAGGCCTATCCCTCACCTCTCACAAACCCCACATTTCCTACCCCAGCTCAGAACTCTCTACCATTACCTGCCACCTCCCTGGCCCTTGACAGCCCTCTTTCCACCCAACAACCAGAAGCAGCACCTCAAAAGGAGAATCAGATCCTGTCACTCTCCTGCTCTAAAGTCTCCCTGGCTCCCATCACCCCTTGAGAGAAATGATGAGATCCGAACAGCCCAGCCCTCATCCACTTCTCTGTCCTGGCCCCCTCTGCTCTCCTCTCTCACTCTGTTCCAGTCAGCAGGCCCTCTTGGCTGTGCCTCGCCTACACCAAGGTCATTCCTACCTCAAGCCTTTGTACTTGCTGTTCCCTCTGCCTGGTATGGTCTTCCCATGACTGGAAACCAAGCCCAGAGAGGGTGAGTTCTTTGACCAAAGTCACACAGCTAGGAAGGGGCAGAGCTTGGATTCAAACCACAACTGCCCAGCTCTGGACCACACACAGGCCATCCCTTTCCAGCCCTAATCAGGCTTCCAGGGACCCTACAGGAAGAAGGCAGAGCAGGGGAGGGGTCACATAGCAGCTGAGACCCCAGTGCACGCAAGGCCACAGTGGGCAGAGGGACCAGCCACCTAACGCCATGTTTTTACTATGGCGGGCAGGTAGCCATTCAGGCCGGACACAGGGACGGCTGTGAGGCCAGTTCCCCAGGCTGCAGACAAGGCAGGCAGTGTCCTCGTTTGGGTGGCTCGTCCCTGCTGGCCGAGCCAGGGCAGGGAAAGGTCAGGCGGGCCCAGGAAGAGAATTTCCATCTCTCCCCATGCACGTCCCTGTCACAGCCCAAGGGGTGCAGACTGTGCACCCCCCTCAAGGCCCCTCCCCAGGCTTGGGGGCGCCAGAGCCGCTGTGCCCTGCCTGGGGAGCCTCTGCCTCCTGGTGATGGATGGCAGGCCCGCGGGAGGCGGTTGCCTTGGCAACCGTGCCGTCCCCAAGGCAACTCAGAGGCCCGCATACAGGCGGGCGTGGGGCCCCTACACATCTCCCGCCCCCAGCTCAGCGCAGGGAGCAGGGGCTTCAGGCCCTGGCTTCAGGGGCTGCGTAGGGAGGTTGGGAGGGGGAGGTAACTGGGTCTGGGTCCCATCTCAGATCCAGGGGTGCCGGCCCAGGGAGGGGCTTCTACAGGGGAAGGGTATGGAACCGCCCCTGGTACGAGGTAGCCAAATTTAAACCAAGATAATGTTCAGCATCATAAATGTGAAAAATAAACAAAATAGGACCACAGAACACTCGTGAAACAGCAATAAATAAGAACCCCCTCCTTGATGCTCCCTACCTTCCAGGACAGTCTCAGCCTCGTTTAACAGGAGAGGAAACTGAGGCTGGGGAGGAAGGAAGTCTGTAAATGGCATATGCTAAGTGTCCATCCTCCTGATGGTCCTGTGAAGTAGAGGGGATGACTATACCCTTTTTATCAATGGATGAAATGAAGCTGCTCAATGGTGACAGTGGGACCTGGTCTCAGACGTGTTAAGGAGCCCAAGGAGCTTAGGGTCTCCCTGAGGTCTGTCAAGGCAAGGGGGTGGGATGGTTGAAATGCTCACTAGGTCTCAGTGAAGGAAGCAGAGGCCAGATCACAAAAGATCTGAGGATGGGTGGAGAAGCTCAATTTTGGCTAAAACTCATAGGGAGGATTTAGAGCTGCGTGGCGGCTGCTCACACTGGCGGTGACACGGGGCGAGTTGCTGGCGTCTCTGAGCCTCCACTGACTGCACTGCGCAATGGGCCACAGGAGCCGCTGCTGGTGGAGGGACACGCCCTCTGCCTGCCGCCCACCTTTCAGCGCACGCAGGCTCTAGTCCTTGGCGATTATTTTTATGGCGCTTGGAGCAAATTCTGGGCTCAAGCGGGAATGTGGGCGGCTCAGGACAAGGCGAGGGTGTTGGCTTTGAGCGCATGAGATAATCCTGGCCTCAGGAGATGTGCTAATGAGGCCCAAACCCAACGGGCCAGGCAGAGGCCCCAGCTTTGCTGGGCGTTTATTGTTTAAAGACCCAGAGAGGTTATGCAACTGGCCCAAGGTCACCCAGCGGGCAGGACAGGCGGGAGGGGAGGGGGAAATTGCACTAGTTCTTCCAGAGCCTGTGCCTGGGCAGCTACAGCCAGAATGAGGGGGTCCTGGCCCAGGCAGGCTCAGAGCCCAGCGCTGGAACATTCCTGTGTTAATTGAAAGGAAACAGCTGACAACGACCTTGGCCATGGGTGGAGGGTGGGGCAGAGTCACGCGGGGCTGGGAGGTGGGGGTGAGGTGAGAGAGGGAGCCCTGTGGCCCAATGGGACCCTTTTGCCACTGGACTGGGAGATGACTGAGAGGAAATCCCCATTCCACCGGCTGGTTTCCAGCTCCTGGGGGGGGAGGGGGGTGTCTGCCCAGCACCTTCCTGGCTTCAAACCCTCCACAGCTTTGTCACGCTGAGAAAACCTCAGCCTCTCAGCCCTCCATTCAAGCACTCTACATTTTACCAGGTGTTTGTCAGCTTCCTCTGCCTCCCCCTTTCCCTCCTCCTCCAAGTTCAGCTCAAGTGTAGTCCCTTCTTCCAGAAGCCTTCCTGGGTCTCCTCCCCTCATCAGGTGACTCCCAGGACCACTAATGGGGTGAACAGCCCATAAGGCATGAGCTTCCCAGCAGGTTTAAGGCAAAGAGATATCACCCCCATGGTGGAGATGGGGGTCAGAGCAGGACACAGACCCAGAGGAGCAAACCTGTTGCCTATTAACCTGGGGCAGAGAGCGGGAAGAGCTGGACCCTGCCCTGGGCCCTGAGACAGGAAGGGCAGTGGAGCATGAATGGAGGTACTGTAGGCAGAGGCCTTCCTCAACGGTCATGTCCAAGGCAAATCCAGCTGCAGTGACCAGCCCCCCAAACCCATAGTTTCTGTCCCCCCTCCCTACCACTCTAGCTATACTCAGACATCCAAAGCACGTTCTCAACCCTGGGCCTTTGCATTGGCTGTGTCCCCTGCCTGGTGCATGCTGTCCCTGTACCCACAGGCCTCATACATTCCCTCAGGCCTTTCCTCAGACATCACCTCCTCATTTAGGCTTTCTCTGACCTCCCTATTTAAGTTTCAGCCCCCCAAGACCCCAAATACCTCACCAGCTCTCACCCTCACGCAACACCCTAGACCAGTGGTTCTCAACCTGTGGGTCACGGCCCCTTTGGGAGTCAAACAACCCTTTCACAGGGGTCGCCTAAGACATAACAGTAGCAAAACTAGTTATGAAGTAGCAACGAAAATAATTTTATGGTTGGGGGTTACCACAACATGAGGAACTGCATTAAAGGGTCACGGCATTAGGAAAGTTGAGAACCACTGCCCTAGACCTTTACTGATTTTGTTTCTTATTTCCCCACCAGGACAGTAGCTGTCTCTTTTTGTCCCTGCCGTGTACCCCACACCCAGGATACAGCAGGTACTCAATAAATGTTCACTGTAAGTCAATTAGGGTCTTTCTATTTTTAGAGGAGGCCCCCTGCACCTAAGGGTTTCCCTCCCCTCCTCACATTCCTGCCACCTCCAATGGACTAATCACCTGTCTTATGACCACTTCCATTTTTTCTTTTTAAAGAAAATCTGTCACATTTATCTAAAACAGGATCTGGGTTCCCCACATCCAACAGAGGACAAGGGAAAAGCCCCAACCACCTTGG